CCGGGCAGCGTCGTGTCCCGCAAAGCTTTGTCTTGTGGGCTGGGCCGCCCCTAGGGGCGCAGCCCATGTGATCTGCCGTGGGTATCCGAGGTCGTGCCCCCATAGGATGTCTGAGGAGCCTAGGCCTGCAACATACTACTAGCCAGTGCAAAGCAGTAGGACTGTCCGAGCAACCAAGTTAGCCATATAATAGTAGAGATGCAGTAGTGAGTATATTCGTGCTAGTAATAAATAATACACCCGCAGCAGAACAAGTAGCTGCTCTCAAGCGGTAGTTCAAGGGTGCTACAGTATAATTGGCCCCTCCTTAACTTTGATTCACGCTCCGCCACTGTCTCATTGCAAATCTGAACCGGAACTATTTGTTTTTTGTGTTGTATTTGAGGATATTCAAAATTGTATTTGTATCTGGCGAAAAAATTCAATACTCGACTAATAGATATCCGAATTTCTATCCATATCCATTCCATTTCCACCCCTAGGGAGGATGGTAGTTAAAATGTGGAGGAAGTAAATCGAAGAAACAACATTTTTCCTGATTCTGCATCCTAGTGTAAAAAAGGAGAAATGTTTCTCTGGTTTATGATTTGAATAACTAGCTAGACATCCAGGTCCAATCGGGTGTCATGCGACATCATAGTGGGTCGGGCCCGCTTGGACATGGATTATACTCTGTGATAAGTTCTGAGACATGTATGACACCTTGGAACAATTTGTGAGGACCTGAAAATGGTGTTCTCACCCTAGGATAAATTCGAGGACCTGAAAATACATTTTTGAAGTTCGGACTTCGGAGACGTGAATGACACTTGGAACAAGTTCAAAGTGCATGTAATCATTTTTTTCGTTTTAAATAAAATACCATGTTTCATACCAAAGTTGCTGGTCAAAACTGCAACTCAGAGAGCATATTTTTCTTTTTGAACTGCATAATCCTTGCTAATTTCAAAAACAACATAGGAAGATCTGTGCTTTCCCCGTCAATTTCTGTTGTTACCATTACACACGAATACACGATGCATTTGTTGCAAAGTTTTGAACGTTGAAACTGAGGCACACCTTATAAATCTGGACGGCGTACGTCTTCAGCGAGAGAAAAAAGGTTTTACATGTATACTAGCAGTAGTTTGCATGCGTACAAACAACCTTCCCGCTGCATCGGTATGTCTATGTCGTTTGTGGCGAGGATGCTCTGGCCGGCCGGAGCGATGAGGCAGCAAGACCGGACAGCGCTGGTGCCGCCTGGAGAGGTAGCGGCGCCGGCGCGGTCAGTATTCAGCGCTGCGTCCGTCGGCGGCGCGGATGACCATCGGCGAACTTTTTCCATGCAATCCACCGGGAAAGCAACCCGCAGGAAAAAGCACGGCAGGTCGGAGCCGCTGTTGCTTGCACTTTCCCACGCTGCGCTGCAGCGGCGATTTGCCATTTGTCCCTGCTCACCTCGGCGACGTCAACTCAGAATCAGTGAGATCTTCCTATGTTGTGTGTCGGACGAGAGATGACCGGATCGGGATCGCTTCTCCTTTTGTGGCACTGTGGATCGTGGCAGGTCGGCTGGCTGGCAGCGAGGACCGAGGAGACGCTGATCGAGTCGAGTGAACGGCCAGCCGTATTCGCTAGTAGACGCTAGACGTGAGGCGATGGGAGTGGTGGCTCTGGCTCCCGGCTGCACGGTCAATGCTGGAGGAACGACGGCTTGAACGCTGGATTGTGACACGAAACGTCCGGGGGCGTGGCCGGCTGCGCTGTGCGTTGCGTGTGGTGGTAGTGTGCCAGTGCTGTGTTGCCCACGCACGCGTCAGCGTCTTATCCGCTTGGGCCGGCCGCGGGTGTAGACGGAGCTGAGCCTCTGTCTGAGCCCCCAGCGCAGCACGGGCACGTGCAGGGTGTATGAACGGCATGCGACAGAGTACAAAGCGAAGCCCTTTCATCGTGCGACCGAATTTCTGAATGCTTGCTTATTGTTGTTCCTCGGAGGGTAGTCAGACAAGACGACCAAGGAGAAAAAAAAAACGGAAAGCCGCGAGGAAGCCTACAGTATTGGTAGGCAGCCAGGGAACCCCATTCCCACAAAAAAATGGCGATGTAGCAACAGGGAATCATGGTACCACTGGCTGGCAATGGCATGGCATCCTGCTCCTGCACAGCACCTCTCTCTGTTATCCAGCCCAGCTCAGGAGAGGACGGCCATCAGATCCGACACCCTCAGCACGATGTAGTTCGTGCCATCGGCACCCTTGAACTCGCTGCCGGCGTACTTGGAGTACACGACGGTGCTCCCCGCAGACACAGACAGCAGGCTCCTCTTGCCTTCCTCGTCCAGGGAACCTGGGCCAACCGCTACGACCTGTCTCCGACCAAGAAATAATGTCGTTTTCACATTTTCTGCTTCTGGTTTGTACTAGATGCAAAGTCATAGTGCATGTTTAGTTCCCAAAATTTTGCAAATTTTTTCAAGATTCCCCGTCACATCGAATCTTTGGACGCATGCATGAAGCATTAAATATAAATAAAAACTAAAACTAATTACACAGTTTAGACGAAATTCACGAGACGAATCTTTTAAGCCTAATTAGACTATGATTGGACACTAATTGCCAAATAACAACGAAAGTGCTACAGTACCATTTTCCAAAAAAATTCGCCAACTAAACAAGGCCATAGTTAAGCTCTGACACGGCCGTACACAGTCCAAAACAGTACAGTTCGGGACCATGGCACCTTGTTATTATCATCGCATTAACGATATTGAGTCTTGTAGAAAAGAAGTGCCCAAGAGCCTAAAGAACTGAGCAACTGACCGTTCCAATAGATGGCTTCTCCTTGGTAGTTTCGGTAAGCAATAGACCACCTGGAGTTTTGTCTTCAGCTTCAGCAACCTGTCAGAAGAGAAACACCATGCAAAACAGGTGGTGTTAAACACAAGGGTGAGACAGTTGAAACTCAACCTGAATGGCAATGCATACTGTATACTGAAATAAGCACAGATACGGTGACTGTGTAACCAGATATCTAGATCGAATAAATATAAGATCGCTACCTTGATTAGAACCCGGTCATTCAGAGGCTTCATGTCTTTCACATCACCGGTTTCTAAGATACCTATAATGTCATCCTCTTTGAGAACAAGATGGTTGTAATCATTCAACTCAACCTCAGTTCCAGCATACTTTGAATAAACAACTTGAGCTCCAACCTGAAGTAGTAGCAAATGCACATGTTAGCATGGTGTTCTCTTTTCTTGCCAACAATAGGGCAAAGCCTACTTGTATTAAGAACTATGACACCAGAACACATGTACAAAGAATTCAGATGGAACCAGAAATAACATCAAATGTGTAAAATTGTGGATCAAACAGGCAGTACAAGTGCTTTGACAGCTCCATCTTGCAGTATGGCTCTAACTAGTAGATTGGTTATATTCCAAATAGGTAAGGTAAAAGGCTCGCTCTGTTTGTTTAAGATGTGATTTTCTTACTCATAAACTGAGATAAAGTGACAACACATGGCTTTCAAGTAAAACTTTTCTTTCTCTATCACAATCAATTCTTAGGTAGGACAAGGGATTCTAAGTACTGAAGCGGGTACCATTTCTCTGTCCACCAACAGGCAACAGCTAATGGAATAGGTGAATAGCTACACCTGCTCACATGAGAATATGTACCCATATATAAAGTTGTATTAAAAGCAACAGACACGTAAGATCTTACATGTTTGCAAAGAACATACCTGAATGCTAACATCAACTTTCTTATCCCCAATTATCCTTCCTTCTCCAACAGCAACTACCTCACCACCCTGAGGTTTGGACTGAGCAGTCATAGGGAGCAAAATTCCACCAGTTGTCTTCTCCTCGGAAGAGTTAATCTTTACAAGCACTCTATCAGCCAAGGGCTTAAGTGTTGTATACTGCAATGAATAAAAAGGCATAGTGTTTCATTCCTGCAAAGCATTAAAAAAAACTCTCTGGAAAACAAATGAGATCAACTGTGCTAAGTGAGGAGGCTGCAAGATATAGCCCAACAACGGCCCAACCAACAAAATGTTAAGTACCACACATGAAGATTCAGACTATATATCGAACTAAAATGGTAACCGGTTACAGATTAAACATAATTTCTTTACAGACTTTTTGAACATGCTGATTGAACCCACATTTACAAATGCTCTCCACAACACAATTCACTGCAAGGCAGACCATGGATTCAGGTGCAATTCACCACATGTAAGCATTAATCAAACCACAACCAGACGTTAGTGTAATTCAATTCACATCACAGACACCAGAGTATCGAATTGTAAGAAGCTAACCATAACCTAACAAACCAGCATTTCCAAACCCCAACCATTTTGCCTATATTCCGTCACAATCAAAGCCAAGGGCCACCAGCACTCTCAGCAGTGACTTCGCCTCGTCTCTCTTCTGCCTCGGTAAGCATATGCAACAGCACGCAATACGGCAATAGCCAATAACCAATCCCACTACCCCCATTCCCCGTGAAAACAACATCGCCAAGCTACATTGCCTGGGCACGCACCTTGGGGGCGACGACGGTGGCGGCCCTGACGACAAGGCCGCGGAACGCCCGCCGGGCCGGGCGGACCTCGCCGACGATCACCGTCGAGGGAAGCCGGAGCGCACCGATGGAGGCCTTCCCCTTCGCAGCGAAGGCCGCGGCGCCGACCCCCGCGCCGGAGACCTGCAGCGACGCCATTCCTCGAGCAGATAAACCCTAGCGGTCTAGCGGATAGCACAGAGGACACAGGACAGCAAGAGCAGCGGAAGCCGCCGCAGCGGAGCCGGACGAGCGCTTTATCCCCAGGGACACGCCACGCTTCTGGGGAGCCCAGTGTAGTAGCCCTCTTTATCCTGGATGGGCTTCGTCCCGGCCCATTAAACTCTGGGCTGAGGAGTCGGTCGTCTCACTGGGACGCGGTTAGTTTAGTTTCCCCGTCGCTCTGGGCCGCCGGCTTCCGCCGTTCCGCGGCGGAGGGAAGCCATGGGCGCCGCCGTTGCAGGGTGGACCGTGGCGGCGGTGCTGCTTCAGGTCGCCGGCCTCTCCCTCTTCCTCTACGGGTTCTTCCCCGTGAAGCCCACGCTGCGTAGCTTCAGGTCCGCGCCTATGTGCCTCTGCTTTGGTTTCTCTTGAGTCCTGACTCTCGCTATGCTGTGAAATTTACGGTGTTCGCTCTCGTCTGGTTGTGTCCAGTGGAGCCGAGAGTTACCAGGTGCCTTCGTGCGGCTTCGTTAGTGCTGGGGAGCAGGAGCCGACGCTTCACCCGGATCAGCTCAGATCTCTGTACAGGGTAAGGCGTTGCTACTGTCTCCATTCCTCGTGTAGGTCCTCCTCTCGTAGCAGCTATGTGTTGCATTGTTATGCTGCTAGAACGAAGCTTGGGAATGTTGAACTAGTGGATAACTGTGCTGTGGGGACTGGATACTATGCATTTTCCCCTGAAATTTGAAAATTCTTAACAGATCGCATTATCAGTTATGTTCACCCTTGCTATTTTCTGTACTCCAGGAACTCTCTGGGATCCCTCCTGTGTACGATCGCTTAGTGTTGATGGTATGCCCTGAATTGATATGAATGTTCATTTGGTTCAGCAGCATAGTTCAAATATGTTTTGGTGATATTTTGTCTTACCCCCTTTTTTTAATTTTTGCCTTTTGAGTTTATGAATGTCAATTTAGGTAATCGATGGACTACCTACTGAATTTGTACTTGGGAGAGGCAGGAAACCTCCAAGCAAAGAAATGATGGAGTCTATGCCATACACTCAGTCTTTGTTGGCTGGTTGCAAAGCAGCACCTTACCATGCCAAGGCTGCACCTCCCACCATCACAATGCCCCGACTAAAAGTAAGACTTCTTTCTAGAGACACCCTTTTATTCAAGTGTTCCACAATACGAACTGTACTCTTTTTTAGGCTATGGTGTCTGGGGCAATTGGAGGTTTTCTAGACGTAGCATTTAATTTCAATACTCAAGCCTTCTTAGAGGACAATCTTCTTGGTTAGAACCTCTCTGTACCTCCCTACCTGTTTCATACTAAGCATATATAATGCCCTACATGCTATATGACAACTGACGACATGTTTCAACATCTGTGGGAGATTGCTTTAGGAGTCCACCAGCAAATGATGGATTTGTATTGTTAATTCATGTGTGCATGTTTGACAAAGTTTATCTCTCTGTCATTCTAATTTCTATTTATCTTTATTGAATTGCCACATGTAAAGTTTAGCAAGCCAAAATTTTATGTATTCTATCTTCTGGGTTGCATTATATATGCTTGGTTATATATATTTTCCCCCCAAAAAAATGCACCCAAGAAAATTTCTGATGCTCATTTTGGTGTCTTCCATTGTTTCAGGTTGTGGTTAGCGATCATGGCATGACTGAAGGGGGTAATCATGGAGGATCTTCATATGAAGAAACTGATTCATTTGCGCTTTTTATAGGACACAGTGTTGAGAGCCCATATCGTTCGCCCTATGACCAGAATGAAGCACTTCAAGTAAAGTCTAAACTTTATAAATGACATACATTTATGTTACTTATAGAGGTTCTGTATACCTTCTAGTTCATCTTTGGATGTTTGTGTTGCTCAATTTTTTGCATATTCTTTGAGCCAAGAAAACATTGTTGCTGTATGACATTTTCCAATCACTAGGCTTTATGTTATCCCCATTCAAGCTGATTAGATAATTACAGTACTCTTAAAGATAGTCCGAACTCCCAAGAGATCAAAATACAACTCTGACATCCTTTGTCAGGTGGATCTTGCCCCAACTCTTGCTCTTCTACTTGGTATTCCAATTCCGAAGAATAATTTTGGTGTTGTGCTTCCAGAGCTTTTAAACTCGTTGACAGGTGATTTTATTTACCTTCCATTTTTGGTGCATTAAGGTTCATCATGAATGACAAGGAATATACAATGTATGCTTGTGAGCTTGAAATTATTTCAGTAAGTTATTTTCAGGGGTTGCCTAATCAGTTCAATCATATTCTTGGTCACATCATTATATTGAATTGTTTACAAATTATATTATTAAATATTCCTCTTAGCTTTCACTGTTTGGAGATTATGAGTGCATCTTGTTTCAGATGACCAGAAACTAAGGATGTTAGAGCTTAACTCATGGCAAATCTTAAGATTGCTGCAAGCACAAGTACCTGCCTTCTGCCTTGAAGATTGTATTAATTCGGAGGGCAGCATTGTACTTGACATCCTTCATGAATCTATTGAGAAAAAATTGTGCCATTTACTTTCTAAAGCCTTTTCTTCTCATCAATCCTCACGTCTTCATCGAGGTTCTGATTTCAAGTGAGCTTCTGCAGACAATCTCCTTAAACTGTTGTATCTTTGTTCATCATTGCTTAAAAAGAACTTGTTTCAGGTCTGTTAAAGCTGGGTACTATGGGACTGCTGCAGATAACTACTACGGCTTCTTAAGATATGCGAGTGAGTGGTTGTCTCACAGAGCAACCGATGTAATTTTACTATCTTTGCAGATTTGTACCTTAGTTTCAAGTAGCTTTCTGCTAGGTTTGCCTTTCTTAGGAATGACTTGTTTTCTTTTATTACAGAAACCATTCTATTTACTATTTACTTGCCTCTGCAATCCTGCTGATGACGGTGTCATGCCTTTTCCTCATGAGCACTGTGTCTTGCCTATTTAAGGCACGGTCTCTAAGTCAAGTTGATCACCATTCAGAGTCATATTTGGATCAACGCTGGCACCTTGATGAGGTTCTTGTTCTTGCTGGGATGTTTCTCTATGTCATCAGTCTTGGTTCAAGTTCTTTTGTGGAAGAAGAGCAGTATACATGGCACTTTCTCACTTCTACTCTGTATTTAATATTTCTGACCAAGGCAGTCCAGTCAATGCTGAAAGGATCAAATCCAACACTTGGTCATAAAGCAGAAGAAAAGAGCTTTGACAAAAGTAACTTTTCCTATGCTACAAGCTTTGGATTAACCCTGGGTGTCATGTGGGGCCAAGGCTACGTCAGGCGCAGGCGCAACCGCGACGTACGCCGCGACGAGGAACGCGCGAACCGCGCGGGCCAGGCCGTTCCAGCGAGCAGTGGCTAGATGGAAAAAATAGGACTGTTAGTTTGTTAAGTCCCTAGAATCAAGGAGTGATTAGTTTCCTTTTCGGTTGGCCGCATGGCTATATGTATCCAGTGACAAGAAGTTTATGATTTAAGCAATGAATTATCCCTAAACTCTCCTCTCTCTCTCGTTCAACTAAGCCTGCGGCGGAGGGGTAAACCTCGCCGGAGAAGACGGATCGCGACTACGAGTTACGTAGTCGGGGTCGTGCTATCCTAGGGTTTGAGGCCCTTGACAACCTGGTATCAGAGAAATGTTTACAGGTTATGTACTATCCTTATTGTTCTTGTTGCTGGGAGCTTGGCATCAAGGTGGGATCAACTGGGTTCACTTTCCTGATATTTCAAAGTTACTGGCGCAAGCTGACTCTTCTGTTGTAAAGTCTCTTCAGATTATCTCAGTTCTTGCAGTTGTGGTATTGTTTTCAGTTTCACTCACTTTACTCAGAGCAAGACCAAAGTTTGTTATAGGAGTATGGTTGACCCACATTTCTTGTGGATTTTTGGTTCTGCTGCATATCTGGGCAAATCAGATCAGTACTTCATTACCAATTAACCATAGCACAGCATCAATAGCTCGACAGTTTTATGTCATTGCTAGTGTTTCAATATCTGCCACTGTTCTTGCTTCACCTTGGGTATTTCCAATGTTTTCCGCAGAAGCAGAATCAGCATCCTCTGGTTCTAGTCCTGTAAAGGCTATACATGGCATCAGAAATTCACTTTTTCTCACTGGAATAACATACACAGCATTCTGGGGCCTTCTGCAATTGCTTCTTCAACAACCAATCAATGCAATTCCTCTTTTCCTCATTTTCTTGCAAACAGTCTCGAGTGTAGTTCATTTTTCTCTGGATAAAACATTACATAAACAATGGGTACAGGTAAGTCTCTTGCATATTCTTGGTAATCTTTGCTCGCTCAGCATGATGTTTTCCTTTTTGAAACTCATGGCATCAGGGAAATAGTTGTTTTTTATTGACTTACTGTTGGCAATAAACCGTGTAGGTTGTGGCAATGCATTTCTTGGGAATGGCTGGTCACTTTGGTCTTGGGAATACAAATAGCCTTGCCAGCATTGATGTTGCTGGAGCTTTCATTGTAAGTTTTAACCAAGAATGCCTCAAGACCCCTTTTCTCCATTTCCTTCTGACTTGACTGATGAATTGTGACAGGGCATTTCAAGTTACTCCACAGTTCTGGTATACTGATGTTTATGATAACATATGCATCACCTCTGATGTTATACCTTGGGTTGGTCCTTCGTGTATCGGTGAAAGATATTGATGATATCTCTACTCTACAGCAGTTGAAATGGAGCTATATTCTAGACAAAATGGTCACATTGCCATGTTTGTTTCCTTTGCTCATTAATTCTCTTGCATTGACTTCATACACCATTGTTTTGCTACTCATGAGGAATCACTTATTTGTTTGGAGCGTATTTTCACCAAAGTAAGTATCGAATAAATGTCTTACAAATAAACGCCTGCTCACTTCTCCGTTTTACATAGAGTACTCCGCATCAAAAATGTTGTCATTCTAGCTTTGTCATAAGTCAAACATGTTGACCACCAATTCCTGGAAATCCATATAGTTTAACATTATAAGATTTATGTTTTTAGGTTCACCATAGAATACTTTCATAATATATTAATATAGAATTCACATGTTGTTAAACTATATGAATTTCTAGGAATGGATGGTCAAAAATAGAAATACTTGACTTGGGACAAAGCTAGAATGACAACCTTTTTGAAATGGAGGGTACAATGTCGTGTATTATAAATGTATACGTTATGGTTTCTCTGTAAGCATCATATGCTGAAAGATAGATTTTGATGTAAATTGATGTAAAAATGTCAATCCTAGTTCTTGATTCCCCTGTCCTCTTCGAAAGCACATAAACAGTAGAAGTGACCCATGGTGATAGATTTTTCTAATGGATCGAATATGCATATTCTATCTTATATGCTATATACATACAATTTCACTGTTAGCTGACCCACTCAAATTCCTAAATGCCTACAGGTACCTCTATGTCTGCGCAGCAACAGTGTGCACATATGTCGGAGTATTCATCATAGCTATGACTGCAGTCTATAATTGCGCTGTTTTTAAGTTCCGGGCACGAAGCTACAGGGATAAATCCCTATAATCAGAGTAATGATTAGTTGTTCTGAATTAGTGGACATTTGTAAAAACTCGGAAAGGGCAGTATCTTGGCCTCATTGTACAACATTGTATATTTGTATTCCCATGTTTCCAGATCATGCAATCCCTGCTAGGGCCTATACACATTTCTCGTTCTCTTTACTAATTTTTTCCCCCTTTAGGGATTAGATTTGTTCTGGACACATGCCGTAAGCACCTTCAGTATGAACAGGAGTACGGAGTATATTGTAGGCTGAGTCGTACTTGAGAGATCCATGTTAAGCCATTTTCGTTTATGGGTCTGGGCATTAAACCCTTTAAATCCTTATGGCATGTATCATCTGTTAGAGAACAATTCTATGAATTTCTGATAGCAAATATTGCACATTTTCACAGCTAGAAAGTGTAGGGTGTGACCTGAAAAGGGGTGAAACAAATGCGAGCAGATTTATTCAAATGAATCAGAAATGTTTACAATCACACTGATACACCAATGTTGAGCGGGATGGCTTACACCCCTGGGCTTATGTACAGTAGTTGTTGAATGTCGGATACAAATGGTACTGGTAAATAGATAGTGATGCGTCCATTCAATCTTTAGATTGCATGTGAGATACCGCTGAACAGCCCCCATATTGTTCATCAACAGTAACTGGTGGTTTAGCGCTTTGAGCAGATATCTTGATACATGATGTCACTATTTAAATCAATCAACGAACTTGCAGGCTATTTACATCATAATCTAAGCACGCCACTAAGTTTGGCATCTTTTTTTTTTTTTTTTCCCTTTGATCTTTGGAAAGGGAGAGAGAGGCCTTTAGCATATCACCACAGGCCACAGCCACACAATGTTTGCATCTTTGCACCGGCCAGCCATGGACTACTCACAGAAACTTTGATATTACACGACAGGATGTCCAAAAGGCTGCAGTTGCTGCTTGTACAATCGCAGGATTCTGGTAGATACTGTACAAGGACAACAAAGAATTAGTATGCGCAAGTTAAACGGATACAGCAATACTATTTAACACCTGCAGGTCATTGGAAACTTATCAGTACATGACTATATCTCCCTAGACAATGATACAACAATTTAAGTGCTTACAAAATGAAATGTGGGGAAGTGTTCGCAATGTAAATACTGTTACAATACCCACATCCTGGATAAACGGAGGTATTAAAATACAATTCTATAATCAAGCTGATGCTAGCAATCTAAGTTGTTGGAATCTGATCTCCCCAATTCAGAAACTAAAAGGGTCACATAAGAGTGATAATGCCCAGCTGCCCTGATGTCCCTCTCTCATTGGGAAGAAAGGCTATTCCAACTAAAGGGTCCTAGTGTATCGCCCATTCAATTATAGTGCCAAGCAGCCTAATGAGCAGCGAAGCTTGCTCATACTATATGGAATTGAGTTTAAGATATTTGTAACCTAGTCCGAAGATGCTATTTTGCATAGCTACATTGAAATGCTCGTGGAGTTCTGTCAAAATGCTTCTGATATTCTACACAAATAAAAGATAAGGCAGTGGCCAGAGGAATCCAAACATTCCTTGACGTGATCTATGGATTTCTGTACAAGGATTATGTCACAGGAGTTGTATCCATAATTACTAACAGTATTACTCCTATTAGCACGGGTAACTTACCCAATGGCCGTCGCGCTCCATGATGCCATATTGTAAACAACTTTCGTTCCATCCCATGCCTTCTGCAGCTTGCTTTTCCTCTTTTTAGTTGAAAATGTCTTGCTAAGAGCTGACAAAATTTAAAATGGGGAGTCTTAATATAGGATTTCATATAATAAGTAATAACTGAACTCATCTCAAATAATGGAACACAATGTTAACCTTGTTGAAGTTGATTGGGTGTCAGGTCCTGCATAATATGAATTTTTGTGCCATCAATACTATAAAGATTCCCAAAAATTAACAGGTGATATAAAACCCTTTGCAGTGATGATAATCTAGCAGTCAATGCATGAAAACGAGAAACGAGACATCCCTTCCCAAATCAATATGACAGCAGAACAGATAAACTACAGTAAGACTAGCAGGGAGAAATCAGAGAATAGATATTATGTTGGCTTGAGAACTATTGGCAGTCATACAATTCATCTTCTAACATAAACAGTATATAGACAAACAAAATGCACTTATGTACATGAGCAAATAGAAAGTGAACTGCACTTTATATACCTTAGTTTGTTTCAGTGAAAGCAAGTATGCAGCCATGAAGCATGCAATACCATCAACTATGTCCTCTTGCTTAACAAGAACATATCCGTCCTCTGAATCATCACTAACATTCATACTCTTATCATCCCATATATCTGCAGCACTTATAATATCCCATGATACCGTTTCATCCACTGTTACAAGAGTCATTGTAGAACTGTTCAGTTGTCAGGTTCAATTGAACGGTGTATACAGATAGGGGTTTCTAAATTGTGGACAAGACATTCACAAAAAAAGGTGGACAAGACAGTGCATGCATTCATTAAGGGCGTACCCAGTGCAGAGAGCTCTCTGCGGGGTCTGGGGAAGGGTGTTAGTGGCAAGCCTTACCCTCGCCTGTGCAATGCGAGGAGACCGCAACTCGAACCCGGGACCTTCCGGTCACAGGCGGTAAGACTCTACCGCTTGCACCAGGCCCGCCCTTCAGTGCATGCATTCATTATGAAAAACAATTACAGTTAAATTCTGAATCCAGAAAAGGGTAATTTTGCACAGCAAATGCACCTGCACCATGTTGATATACTGACTTCTGAAGGGTATCTAGCTTCTCAAGAAATTCAGGTGATTGAACCCTTGATTTCAGAAGATCACACAGCTGCAAGTTAATGAAGATGTAGAGACCTTAGGGAGGCTTGAAAACAGAAAGGAACAAGCACAGTGAAAGCCTGGTCTAATTTATGCTACCATCAATAGGTAACATGCATGACTGCCATATTTCCATAAAGCTGTTTAGACCACAGTTGAAGTGCCAGAAAACAGTTTAGCTCAAACTGATGACCAGGAAAACAGAATTTATAGTTGGTTTACGCTTCACACCATGAATAGCCTGGACCCATGTTGCACAAGGAATTCAGTGTAAGATGTCAACTATTCCAAAGTCTATGAATCATCTGCTATTTATTTATTTATTTATTTGCTAAATACATAATAGTGTGAAAAACTGTGGAATTACAAATCACTTACCAAAATACATACCAACTACCAAATTCATGTCCTCTATGAAACATTTCACTGGACTATGCAATCTCATATAGCAACTGCTTCGCTTCCAAGTTTGACCTTAAGAACCTATTACTATATCTGACAAACTGTCATGACCAAGTCATCTGCTGACCCAGCACGTAATACCACAGAAACAGTAAGGCAATAATTGAGCTGCAGTCACTCAAATTTGTAGCAATTTCGTGCAAATCTGGCCTAGTCCTGGCACGCGGCAACCTCCGATCCAGTTAAACCGTTTAAGCTACTATCGCCCACATCTCAGAAAACGCCTAACTGCCGCAAAGTACCCCAATCAATCGAGCCACCAGCACCAATACCCGAACCCAAATTGATTTGCACAGCGAGATCTCGTACCCTCACCTCGTCCGCCTCGTAGTCGGTCTCCGAGGGAGGTGGCGGCGGCGCCCCCTCGTCCTCGTCCCCGCCGCCGTCGCCGCCCCCCTCCTCCTCCACCTCCACCTCCTTGAAGCTTGCCCCCTCCGCAGCCTCCCCCAGATCGGCCTCGTGCATCATCTCCAGCGCGCGCTGGCACTGCTCCAGCACCGACTCCAGCGTCCTCCGCCGCAGCTTCAGCTCCTCCGGCAGCCTCCGCCTCGCCGCCGCCTCCGCCAGAGGAGGAGGCTCGGACGAGGAGGCCGGCTCCATGGGAACCGAACCCTAGTCGCGCGGCGACCGGTGGCTTGTCTCGCTTCGCAACACCCGACCCCAACGGCGAAGAGGGGAGAGGGGAGAGGGGAGAGGGAGACGTGCGCGTGGCTGTGTCCGTGGCGGACTTCTTGTTCCGTCCGCGCGTGTTGTTTTTGGTGGCGGCTTGTTGGCGATAGGGACAACCCACTGCCGGTAGGGTCGTTATGAAGCTAGGACACGGCGGTGGGCTGGTTGGTGGTGTTGCCCGCACGCTGTGCTCAGTTTCCTTGGAGGATGCGTGCTACTTAGTGGTGGGGACAAGGAGCGGGGGGCCCACGTGTCATGGACTCGTTAAGGCTACGAGCTTGTTGTGTCATCGTAGGTGGGAAAAACTTACTTTGAGTGAAATTATTCCTACTGGCAAATGATTGGGTAGTTTAGACTTTAGACTATCTCCAACTGTCCAAACCCAAACACAGGACTCATTCTAAGGATTGGGTCACGTACATTTACTGGATGTCGGTACATAAAGTGACCAACTAGTAAATATTTGTAGTTTTGCCATACGTTGTGATCGAAGGTGGCCTAACACTTAATGACATAGGGTTTATACTGGTTCAGGCAACGTGCCCTACGTCCAGTTTGAGTCGGTCGGTGACTTTATTCCTGAGCTCAGGTGCTCGAAGTTTGCAGTGGGGTTACAAACGAGAAGGAGAAAGATAGGGTATGCAAGAGGTCCGGTCGGCTCTGGTCGGAAGGACCGAGAGCGACAGGAGCTACGCTATGAGCTAAGTGTTCAAGCGTGTGCTTGAGGTCCGAACCCGGCGGTTCTGTGGTTGTGAGCTAGCGAACTTGATCGATGTTGGTTAACTGAAAGGGGGCTCTCCTTTACGTTGGAGGGAGTGCATCCCCTTTTTATAGATAAAGGAGATGGCTTTACAAGTGAGAGGGTAAGGGTACGTATGCTACTGAGCTTTGTTGCCCATGCCGGCGGGTACAAGATAATGGTAGGTGCCCACAACACTGTTGATGTCACTGTAGAATGTCAGATGCATGTGGGAGGTTGCGTTGCCTTCTTCAGAAATGGCAGATGTCGGTACTCACAAATACTGTTGATGCCTAGAGGCATGTAAGGAGTTTCACCACGTTCACCTGATACGGTAAATCCCGGCGCCCACAACACCATCGATGCCTAGAGGCATGTGGGGGGCCTTACCGTATGGGAGTTAATGGCGCCCACAATACTGAAGAGGGAAATGTTGGCGCCTACAATACTGTTTGTGTCAGGGCGGTTGCGGAGTACTGTTCCTGCAGGCGTATAGGGTATGGTCCCTGGTATCGTGGTTTGACTTGTGCGCCTGGCGTGCTTTCTCCGTTTGTCCCCTGGTCCTTTCCGAGCGGGAGTCCCCGGTCGGCTCTGGTTGCGCCAGTCGAAGAAGAGCGGTTAGCAGGGTTTCTGTGAACCCCGGTCGGAGACGTGGGGTCGAAGTCGGAAGTAGTGCCTAGGCCAGGCCTTCCGATCGAGAGAGGCCGTCCGGAGGCGGCTGGAGTCCGAAGTGAGCGTTCTGGTTGGAGAGGTGGGCCGAAGTAGTTGACGAGCGGACGCTGTTCCTCTTCGGCCAGACTTTCCGGTCGGTGACTGGACCGCTCCTTTGGCCTGTTGTTCTAGACTCTTGGGCCAGCCCATGAGTTGCGTGCTGTCTGCTTGGGCCGAGCCTTGGCATGGAAGCCGGTCCCCGAGGGACCCCGGGTTTATGAACCCGACACTGGGTCACCCACCCAAAATTTCCTCCCTCCGCCGGCGAGACTGGCCCCGCGCCTCTTGTGGCGGCGAGCCTGGCCGCACGCCGCCCCGTACGTCCTCCACCGCATGTCGCCCCACGCCAGCAAGCTTGGCCATGCGCTGCGGGTGGAGCAAGGCCGCAGGCGGATCTCACCGGGGCCGGTCCGCTCACACGGAGGCGCGCGACGAGGCCGGAGGCGGAGGCCACCCGCACGGCGCAGCTCGCCGGCACCAGGGGTGGAGCACGCGCCGGTCGCCCATGGTGGCTCGTTCATCCGCCGGCATCGGACTGGCCCCGCGCGGTACCACCCGGCCCAGGCGGAGAACTCCTAGAGGCCCTGCGGCGTGGCGAAGCGAAAGTCGCCGGAGACGTTCATGACCTCGCGGTTGCCGAGGATGGGGAGGAACGCGCTGCCGCGGGCCTCGGCGGAGAGCGCGAGGCGGCGGAGGAGGTAGAGGAGGCGGAGCTCGTCCCCGCCGCGGTCGAGGATGTCGCCGAGCTGCACGGCAAGGGTGGGCCCCACGGCCCATGAGGCGGAGGCGGAGGCGGAGGAGGGGGAGTCGGGGCTGCTGGACGGGGGCCAAATTCATGTCCTCGCCGAGCCGGTAGCGCCCCGCCGCGGTCCTCGCCGTCATCTCGTCCACGGACCCACCACTACGGGCGCAAGATTTTTGCGTCGTCTCTCCTCGACGACGCTTTTTTGCGTTCTGGCTGGCCTCGGATGCAAAATGGGTCCTTTGTCTGGGTCTTCTGTTGGAGCATGTTTTTAGGTATGCAAAGTACTGTGAACCACCTATTTTGCGTTTGGGTTGTGCCGTTGGAGACAGTCTTAGTAATGTGTGAGAGGGATGCTAATGGTAACCCATTGGAGATTTGGAGATGACCCATATTCTTTTTTTAAGATGGTGAATTGCTTTAAATATGAATCATTTTCTATGCCAAATATGCTAATATATTCTCAAGGACATCTGGTTGAGACCACTTCCTTGGTTCACAAAGAAAGACCTTATAACATTTAAAATTTATCCTAAAAGAAGACTCTATAACACTGTTTATCACTGTCAAGAGGACCTCTGAGAGAAGTCATTTTGTAGGACGGAGGAAGTATGCTTAAGCGACCAACAGTTTTATTAGTGCCAATGCCAAAGTCACTGCCCTGCCCACTCAGTCACACAGCAACAGGAGAAATTTGCATCAGAACTGGAGGTTGACTCTAGGCGCTATAGGAACAGATTCTCAGTTGCTTGAGAAACTTAGAGCAGATTTTGAAATAAACCGCCTTATGTGAAAACCTTTTCGCCAAGATACATTACACAAAAACATATTCTACATCAGATTCTTCTACCGATGATATAATGACTAGGAAGTTACACTCCCCCTATAATCAAACAGGAATTACATCTTTGTTCTATAAGGAAAAACGAGTACAGGAGCAAGAGGTATGTACAAGGTAGGGGGGTGGATGTCAAGGTTAATTTGACCAGACATGCACCAGGCCTTTGCTGTTTCCGGTGTAGATTTCATTGCGGTCCTCATCGTAGAAGAGAGCAGTGATGTCCTCAAGAGCTTCCAGAACAGTGCTGCGGATGGTAGATCTGCTGTTGTCGCCTCTCTTTCGAGGAGCAATTGTGAGAGTAGGGTCACTGGGGGAGATCTTGGCTAAGCACTTTCCAGTAAAGATGTTGCTCATGTTAATTGATCCCATGGACGAAACTGAAAAATTCAGCAGGTTTATTTTGATGACTAGAGGAAGTATAATCAAGAAATCACAATTTAGAGTGGAATTTAGCTATACCTTCTCCAGCTTCACTGTCAGCACAATCTGTGCTCTGCTTTGAAACTTTGCAATATGAGATAATCAAGTCCTGGTCAGCAGTGATGTATATATTGTTTGTATTGCAGTTAGGATGCCACAACTCATGGTCCTCAAATGATGTAACTAGCTCTCCACGAAAATTCCAGGCTGCAACTGTCCTATTGCAGAATGTCAGGAATAGATTGTTTTCATAGAGAAAGATGAATGCTGAGGGAGTCATGAACTCGGTTTTGTTGACTTCAATTAGATCGGAGTGCCTAACCTGGACAGGAACTCGAGTCAGTTCGAAAACGAAATGTAAATTGCTGCTCCCACAATGAAAGAAAGAATTAACAAGAAAAAACTAATGGTGGCCTACATCGATAATCTGGAGATTTTCCTTGTCTCGCTTCACGAGAAGCTTTTCATTGAACTGCTCGATGAAATCAACCTTTCTATTTCGATGCAGCAGCTGATTGAAGGTTTTCAGTGGAGTTCCATCCTCAATTGACAATATAGTCAGTGGAACATGACAGTTTGTCTTCTGATAAATCACGAGCATGATTCCAGGACTGATGGAAAAGAATATGGGTAAGAAACGTGATATGAACTACCTAAATCAAAAAATGGATTTATCAGTGATCAGTGACAGCAAACCTTATCTTTATCTCCTGGATATTCTTGTCGCATATGGAATACAGAAAGTTGTAGTTCTTTAGATCAAAAACTTTGTAAGTACTGCAAAGAAGAAGCAATTAAACAATGCACATGCTTGTTGTCATACTGTTGAGCAAAAATGTCACTTACCTATCCTGGGCCGAAAAGGTCAATACTTTGCCATTAACATCATCAAACTCAACAAAGCCAGGATATTTTAGTGATTCAGTTTCAAATAAAGGAAATCCATCATTCAGTTGACCTCTTCTGATGTACCTAAAAATTTTGCAACCAGAGAAGACAAATTAGTTTAAATGAATTAAAGGAACTGCTGATTTAAAAATTACTAACGATCAGATCATGTCTTACAAAAAAAAGTAGCAACTAACTAAAAAATTATACCAGCATACAAATACATGATGTCCCTACTGATATTTTTTTAGAACACATCAATTATGAATAAAAGCACATAAATACTAGCGCAAATAATATTGCAAACACCGGAAGATCAACAGGTTAGCAATAATAAATTCAAAATACTTTTGAGTACTTCAAGAAGAAATGGATGAGGTATCTTACTCTATAGGTGTTGTTCTGCACTTCAATGAACTGAAACGGTCTGATTCATAAACTGAAACGGTGATAAGCGACTCGTTCTAGTTGTAAAACAAGCTCCTAATAACTTCATCAGGACTTATATTCAAATAGCATATGCGTTTGTTTGTTGCTGTCAACACAATAAGAAGGTTTATCAGGAACATAAACAGAGGGGAATCATTATAGAAATTCCGCAAAGCATGAGACTTACTTCGATTAAATGCAGCGCATAGACCTGATTGTGAAAGTGCAAATATAACATCCTTTGCTGCAACAATTTCAATAATTTTTGTTCTGGTCCACAAAAATGGCAACTGGACAAGAAAATGGACCTCATCATCATAGGTGTCATATTCTTCCTGCACAGTCAATTTCAATCAAACGTGTAAATTATAGAATATCTAAACCATACATTGCAACACAGCAGATAGTACACAATGAAGTCCTTTTCATTTACATATCACAATAGTTTTAACATTGGCTTGTGCACATGTACTCCCCACTAGAAAATTTCCGTACTATAGATTCCGCCATTTTGGATGACAAATATAAGAACATTCATATATGAAAAGATTCCAAACTGGAAATTGTGTTTCTTCTCGGTACCTTCCTATGCAGCACGGATACGGATACGCGTATCGGTATCGGAAGGATACTGAATCTGTGAATACGACAATTTCTCAAAAAACACGATACGCGGATACGTTTTACTATTTTTAATAAAGTAAATAATAATGCAAATTAAAATTGTGGAAGTGTAAAATTTGAGTAATCACTAATTATAAGTTAGTGCATACAATTATATATGATACATCACCAGATCACCTTTTAGGTCAGGAGATCCAAGTCCAAACTATACTAGATGAATGTGCAATTACCAAGTCTATCTAAAACAGTAAGTCAGGAACAAAGCAAAGCAACAAGTGCAGAAGTAGAGTACATCGAGAATGAAAAAGGGTGTACTGATGGAGGTCGGCGGAAGGCTTTGCTGTTGAGTGCTGAATCGTCCTCTTCCCTGCATCTCTCCCCTGCATTGCGGGAGCTAGCCGTGTCCTTAGTGGACTGGTGGGAGCTCCCAGCGCAGTGCTCTCTAGCGTGACGACCTGGAGGACGAGAGGTCGATTGATGGCACAGAGGGGGCGGAGGCTTGTCGCCGGCGGCCGGCGAGATCTCCTGCGCGGGAGGCGGCGCGCGTGCACAGGATGCGCACGCGAGAGGAGAGGGGTGGGGGCGTGTGCAGGATGCAGCGGGGCTCGTTGCCGACCACCGGCGAGCTGCGGCGCATCTCTTGCACAGGAGGCGGCGCCCGAGAGCAGGGGCTCTTGCGTGTGGATGACTGGACGTGTTGTGGCGGCTGTGTAGGGTTACGGGAGAAGAAAGGCAGCAGGCGTGGGGAGTGGCCGAGTGGTCAGGTGGGTTGGGACGTATCGGACGAGCCTAACGTATCTAAGAAGAGTATCCGAATTATAGTTGATTTATTTTTTTACGGATACTTCGCTGATACGTATCCAACGCGTATCCATGCCGTATCGGTATCGGATACGTATCCGATACAGGATACGTCCCTTCCTTGGCGATCGGGTAACGAGGTACCTTCTATCCAGAGTAGCAAACAATATTAACTCAAATTTGAAACAGAAGAGGGAAAAAGCAACGCTTCTAAGTTCTAAGTCAGCACACTACACTCAGTTTCTTCTCCGTGCCCCTCCAACTCAGTCAACCACGCCATTTGGACAGTAAACAAAATACATATCATACAATAATTTAATACTCTGGTATGGTAACCACAGAAATGAAATGCAACATGTCAGAATTACTATCGCTCACATGTTGGTGTTGGCAAGCTCATGCTCACAAATGTGGTACAGTGGTAGTTTGGTTATTGCAAAATCCTTTAAATGATATAAAAATCTCGATATTACCAACAATGGACTGACTTGGTTTTCTGAGAAAAAAAATCCACCAAGACCAGGATGAAAACCCACAAGTTGCAGTTTTACTAACATTTAATAGCCTTCCAGAATCCTCACAAACAGTCTTCATACATTGTGTGGATAAATGTACACAAAGTTAGGAGCGTTTGAATGTTCCGAAACTGAGAAAAGAGAAAAAGAAAAAAAATGAGTAATGTAGATTTCAAAATCCCAAGGTGTGTTCATTTTCAGCGCATTTTGCCTTGCAAACTGACAATAGCATGTAATGGAAGACTGTCTATTGAATTTGTGTTATGCAGAATCCATGTCAAAAAAAAAAAACAGAAGCCTACATAGTATCAAGCTACAAGCTGATTTCAGTCAAAAACATGCAGTCCGAACAGGGTAGGACATTAGGAATCAATATTCCTCACAGTCGGTACTCCCAGATCTAGCCAGACCCAGAGCCTCTACCCACACCCTGTCACAAGCAACCCCAGTTCACCGAAGTATCAGTTATTCATTTTATAAACGTTATGCTAACATCTACACAAGTACCGCCATTTCATAACAAGGATCAAATAGAACAGGACATTCCTAACAGCCTATATAAGGGTTACCGAACTATCAGTTATTCCTGTCTCAGCCGGCGTCGCCACTAGATTCTCGGACAGCCTACTACAGCTACGAGGGGCCGCGCGGAGGACAGACCTGGAGCTGGAAGTTGCGGAATTTCTCGGGGCACGAGAATGCGGACGAGGAGGGCGCCGCGGGCGTCGGTGGCCGCCGCCGATCTCGCGGCGCGCGACCTTGTGGACGGAGTCCGAGGGGTCGCGGCGCGAAGGCTTGCGGCAGGTGGAGCGCAGGCCGGCGGAGAGCCACGCGCGGCGCCGCGCGGCGGTGATGCGGAGGCGCACGCGCAGGCCGGGCTTGTGGTGGTGTTCCATGGCCTCGCCCTGGCTCTCGCCGGGCGAGGTGGGAGCTGGTGGCGGCGGGCGGGCGGGCGGGAGGGAGGGAGGGAGGGGAGGATTCAGGGGGCTAGGGCTTTGGGAGCGGAAGCGCCATGGGAGGTGTGGGGAGCACGGAGCAGAAGTGTGTTGAGGGAGGACGATGGGCGATGGGGGTTACGGACGGCAACGACAGAAAATCAACAGGGTCAGTGTCCACAGCTGTGCATACTGTACAGTACGAGCTCTTTTCATTTGGCAGACATATCTCCGGTCAAATGTCTTGAGCCTTTTCCCGCCGGCATCCCATTATAAAAAACTAGCCACTTTTGTCCGCGCTTCGCTGCGGGTGACCAACTTAAGAAATATGTCTTTATTACTGTCATTGTAGATTTATTTCACACCAAATACGTGCTTACCATTTTTATGTTTTTACGATAATTTGTTATGCACTTTATTTCTTTTGAGCAACAACTACAATGGACTTGGGATTCCATTTCTTTTGTATGTTCACAGGTAGTTAGCATTGGTTTGTTTTGAATGTGGCTTTTTTTAAAAAAAACACAAAGGCACACCAACACAAGGGGAGTAGTTCATTCAAGGGCACAATTGCGTAATACAAAGCGGGACGACATAACAAAGAGGATACGACATCGCTAAAACTCAACAACACAAAGAAAGCAGTAAAAGATACAACTCTAGGGGAGCAACTAATCTACTTCCTCGAGACGAGATGGCTTCACGGTTGCTCTCTTGAAATTCTCTGGTGGGCTTGGGGTGTGTGTGCATGGAAGGGGAGACTCCACTTGAGAGGCCTCTATGGGAGTGGGTGGTGGTGCTTGAGGCGCCTGCCACCGCTCTCCCTCTCCCACGGATAGATGGGTATCCCCTCGGAATCGAGGGGTGTTGCCCGCCTAAGGCGCACATCCTCCGTTGGTCTCGAGTGACAAGGTAAGCTTCTCTTAGTTGCATGTAGCGGTTCCCCGCTTCCCACATGGCTTCAGCCGGTGACAGTCTCACGGCTTTGGTGGCAATGCTTTGGCCATGAGCCATGGCAAGGCTCACATGGAGCTTCTCGATGAAGGCCTCCGCCTTCCCTGCTCGAGCGGACGACTTCCTCAACTCGCTCAGAGGCCCGCTTCTCATGGTGCTCATCCAAGGCCAACAGATATGTGGCTAGGGACACCACAGTAGGGTCGATTGCTTGCAGAGGGCGTCCTTGCAGAGCCTCTAGGCGTGTCCTCCAGAATGGAGTGTCCTTGTCCGAAGGCGGAAAGAACCTCATGGGGGTATGGGCGAGGGGTCCTGCATAGATTTGGCATAGGAGTCGCAGAGCTTTATGCGAGCTACCGCTTGATAGGCATCGAGGAAACGAAACCAATGGTGGTCGTGCTCCGACCATCAATTTGGTGGAGTTCTCACTTTTCCCGATGTAGACGATGACCTCACACCGCTCAGTGTCATGCTCTATGAACTCACGACCTTCATACACGGGGACCTCTCGGATTCCCAGCCACTGCGTGGTGGTATACAGAATCTTGGGAAATCCCTTTATGCCTTGGCGGTGTTGCTAGTCCAGACTCCTTCACCATCCTGCTGGGTTGGCTAGGAGGGTTTGTGGGTTGAAGGCAAAGGCACAATTGGCTTCGATGAGGCCATGGGCTTTGGTCAAGGAGGAAGGAACTTTGGTGAGGTGGTTCAATGAGGGGGATGCTTGGGAAAGGTAGCAGGGGTGGTTCTCATTTTGTAGAGGGCTAGGGCAAGGCTTCTCCGAGAAGCTTCACCGCCTATAGTGGGGCTATAGCGAAAAAGTGGGGTGCACCATGTATCATGGCGCTGTGGTCGAAAAAAGTTGATAGGTGGGGCCTAGCAATGTGGTTTTACTGACCCAAGAAAAAAAGGGGGTCAGCATGGGTGCAGAGCGAAGGACCGACCAAAGCCGCAGAAAAAGAGTAGAAAGACGTGGTCCATGATAGGCATGAATTACGGCGGACGCGCGCGCAAGCCACGATGTATAAAGCCGCCTAAAGTGCATAGATGGTGGCATATGAAAGCCGTGGATGCCGCGACGCAGCTTGTTATCCATGCATCCACGATCCTTCCCCACACACTAGTGTCATCGTCTCTGCAGACGCCAATGTCCCTCTCCACACAACACCACGCCGCACCACCGCCCACGCACGCCGCTCGAGCCATCACCTTTGTCCCCACAAGGCCGCCAATGGCGCCGTCCTCTATGCACACACACACAGTTGTACCTTCAGATTCCACAAAGATCGCTATGTGGCGGCGCTTGAGTCATGACCTCCGTGCCTAAAAAAAGGATGGTGCCGTTGTCCCCTCCATGAAGCCGTTCCTTCAAAATGATGCCGATTAGTGGCGCATTGATGGCACGCACCGATCCCTTGGCCCCGCCATCAAGCTCCTATATAAACGCCCCTACGCCTCTTCGATCACCGCAAGACACCCTACCATCAACACTAATCACCCACATAAAGACATGAAGTTTTAACCAGTTCCAACAATTGAAGAAGAAGCCTAGCGTAAGGGTTGCAAGCCATAGAGCACCTAAGAAGACATCAACAAGAAGGTGGAGTACACTGCGGGAAGGAAGAAGTGGATACGCTCAACATGTGCCTAGATGAAGAAGAACTCGCCATCACCATCTTTGCCTTCCTAATCCCTCCTCTAGTGGGTGCAATAATACTGTATATCCTTGTAATGCGCCCGTTACCATATGGGAAGCCCTAGCTGCCCATGTAATCAAGAAGCATGCAATAAGAATCCTACGATTTATGTTGGCAACTAGGACATTTTGAGATTTTGTAGTTCAAATCCTCAAAAAGGGGAAAACAAAATATGGCATGGCCATTGCTGCCAACGCTTCGTTGTAGGCGATGTGTTTGGTATGCAAAATCTTAGGAAACATGGCAAGCAAAGATATGCAACACATTTTGTAGCATCTTGGTAAAAAACTGACCTACTTGGTACACTAAGTGTTGGGAAAATATGGAGTTGTAAAGGAACTTAGAGTGTTGGTTGGCACTAAATGATGCCTATTTTAGGGCAATAAATTAGTACCATCTTATTGGAAAAACGATTGATGGAGTTGGACTCAAACAATTAACACACAAATTCAACACACAACATTAGGTGTGACTATGCTATAGGTGGAAAGAGTACCAATTACATCATTCTCCACAGTGGAAGACGTCTACACAAAACTACTGAAGTGGGGGGCTCAAACAGGTAACTCTAATAGTGCCAAAGCATTACAATACGCTGGACTACATATTAGGCGGACATCAAATGCACTACACTATGGGTACATTTTATTACTTGTACAATAACCCTTAAGGGGATACATTTGGACCGTATTAGATTCATTCCCTGAGAGGCGATGTGGCCACTCAGATCATGCTTCAGCCTGAGGAACACTTTGGAAGGATGGCATGAGAGCAGGCAGCATCCCCTGGCAATGGCTGAGTGGGTGCAAGGACCCCTTGATCACCTGACTCCTTATTAGAATTTGCTTAGAGGCTTTAGCCGGGGAAGACACAGTGGCCCATGCACAATGTCGCTGCTGGATTCTTTCCATTTGGTGCAACTGGGATTCCTTCTAGTATGGGGCACTCCCTCTCTTGCAAAGCGAGGGCCCTTCTTTTCTTCTTAGTGACAAGGTACAAATCCTTCAAGCTGTTGAGTATGTCGGTCTTCTACCGCTTGAGGGCTTCAATTGATGCGACTTCTTGGCTCTCTGCTCTAGTCGTCTGTGTTTTAGCCTCCATAAGTCGCACTTCAAGGTTTCGATTTGCTTCTCAAAGACCCTCTGCTCTCTGAATGCACTTTCTCGAGCTTGGTAGCTCGCCTATCATCCGCTTATCTAGGGAAAGCAAATAGTTAGACATGAACGCCATAGTTGGGTCACCTTGTTGTAATTCAAGCCCTTGAGGGTCCTCATTCGAGCTTCCCATATAGGGCTTCTCCTTACCAAAGGGGGAAATAATCTCATTGGTGTTTGACATATCGCCTCTCATAAATTTGGCATAGGTACCTCAAAGCCTTGCGAGCGGCAACTTGGTAAGTGTCCTTGAACCGGAACCCCGTGGTAGACACTACCCATGGTATTGTGTTAGGAAAATCCTTACTTGCTCCGACGTAGACGCTCACCTCACACCGCTTGGTGCCATGCTGCTCATATTCCCTGCCAACGTATTCTGGGTGGTCCATAATACCTAGCCTGGTCATTGTTGCATATAGAAGCTTCGGGAAACCAGCCGTGTTCAGGCAGTAGCTAGTGGTCCAGTCTTCCTCCGCCATCTGCAAGGCAAAGAAGGGGATGTCATGTTTTGAACATATATGAAATGGTAGGATTTATGTAAATATGGTTATACCTCTCACCTTGTTAACGCCGGTGGACAAGAGGAAGGCGTCTTATACTTGTAGCGTAGTCGTTTATTTTATGAGATCATATAAAGGGGAAAGAGCAATGGGGCTTGATAGAAAAGGCAGATCGTTAAGGCATGGTTCAAGTTTGAGGAATTCATCTTTCGGCACCTTATTTTTATAGGGACAGGGAATAACCTTTGTATGCGGTAACACAAAGATCTTATTTAATGTGGGGGCTATTTAAATCGATGTGGGTGCCTCTGTGAAGTAGGATGGGCGGTGGTGAGGTGACGTTTTTGGAAGTGGTTGTTGGGCACCTAAGGGCGTCTCCAACATCTAGCTATTTGGCTACCTACTATGACGCGGGCAGGGGGAAAATAAGAGAGGGAGTAATCACTAGTAACGAACAAATAGATGAGAGCGAAGCATGTAAGTCTGCTATTACAAGAATGTATAAAATAATCTTCGATCTTTTTTCTCTCGCCTATGTAGCTAGCACTATTGTGGATGTCCTAAGGGCATGCTCCACGTGCATGGGCATGAAGCGACCATTGCCTAGGCATTTAAGTGTTTATATACTCATGGTTACCCTACATAGGACAAAGCGTGCTCAAGGCTTTGATGGGCACGTATTTTTTGCTTGGTTGGCAAGGACACGAGGACATGTTTTGTAGGCGTGCTCAACGCTTTGACGGGCAGGCCTTTTGTTGCCTGGTTGGCAAGGACAGAAGGACATGGCTTGTGGTCCATAACCTAAGGATGTTATTTATTGTGGAGGGCTTTTGCACCGATATGAGTGGCATCGTGGAACCTGTTCGCTTTTTGCTTTGAAAATAAGCGCTGATTTCATCAGAAGTTCTTTGATTTGTTGTGAGAGAAAATATTGTTCGTGGCTGAAAATAAGCCCGGCTTATAGAGAAAATTAA